TCAACAATACAACAGTAACAAAATTAATATTAAAGTTGATTTCACTTCTTTAGTGTGTCACGCACCAGTCTTTTTCCCCTCCAAATTCACTTAACCTCGGGGCTTCTGCATTTTATTTTATATATATTTTTAAAGTATGCCTTTAAATAAATGGAAAGATATCACATATTCATGGGTCGAAAGACTTAGTATCATTAAAATGGCAATGTTATCTATTGCCTATCAACCTATCAACATGACAGTGCCTATCAACACTATCCCTATCAAAAAGTCAGCTTCTGTTTCGGTCACAAGTTGAGACACTGATCGTAAACTTTATATGAAAACTCAAGAGAAACAGGATAGCCAAAAAAAGGAATAAAGTTGGAGAACTCACACTTCACATTTTCAAAGCTTATTTAAATGGATAGAATTAGAATAGAATAGCAGAATAAAACTTAGAGAATAAAAAAAATATAGAAATTAAACAACACAATCCTAAATAACCCAAATGGCCAGAAAAGAAATCTTAAAGGAAATTATAAAATACTTTGACATGAATAAAAATTAAACATAAAATACCAAAACTTACAGGATGCAGATAAATCAGTGCTCAGAGGGAAATTTACTGCTGTAAATACTTATAAAACACTTATAAAAATACTTGTAAAAAGGAAGAAAGATCTCAAATCAATAATCTAAACTTCTACCTTAAGTTTTTAGAGAAAATCAGACTAAACCCAAAATAAGCACAAGGGAAATAATACTGAAGTCGAAGTATTTATCTCCTTATGGAAGGAGAAATTAACTTATGGAAGGAGAAATTACAGAATAGAAAAATAATAGAGAAATAAAACTAAAAGTTGAAGAACTGAAGAAAAAATAATACCAATCCTTCACAAATCTTCACACACAAAAAAATAGACGATAAGGGAACATATTCAGTTTATTCTATGAGGCCAGTATTACCCTGATGCTGAAATCAGGCAAAGAAATCATGAGAAGGGACTTCCCTGGCAGTCCAATGGTTAAGACTCCTGGCTTCCACTACAAGAAGCACGGGTTAGATCCCTGGTCGGGCAACTAAGGTCACACATGCCATGTGCCACAGGGTCAAAAGAAAAAGAATATGCAAAAATCCTCACAAAGATACCTATAAATAGTGTATAAAAAGGATCATGTGTGTGCCGTGTGCTTAGTTGCTCAGTCATGTCCAACTTTTTGCGACCCCATGTACTGTAGCCCGCCAGGCACCTCTGTCCATGAGGATTCTCCAGGCTAGAATACTGGAATGGGTTGTCATGCCCTCCTTCAGGGGATCTTCCCAACCCACGGATAGAACCCAGGTCTCCCACATTGCAGGAGGATTCTTTACCGTGCAAGCCACCAGGAAAGCCCAAGAATACTGGAGTGGGTAGCCTACCCCTTCTCCAGGGGATCTTCCTGACCCAGGAATTGAACTGGGGTCTCCTGCATTGCAGGTGGATTCTGTACCAGCTGAGATACCCAGGAAGCCCAAAAATGATTATGCACCATGACTAAGTGTAGGAATATAAGATCAGTTCAATATATAAAAAATCAATCAGTGTAATATATCATATTAATAGAATGAAGGACAAAGACCACAGGATCTCAAGAGATGCACAAAAAACATTTGACAAATCCTAAATTCATTCTGTTGAAAAGCATTCAGCAAATTAGCAACAGAAGACAACATCCTCAACCTGATAAAGTCCATGTATAATAAACTGCAGCTAAAACTATATTTAATAATGAAAGATGGAAAATTTTGTCCTTATAATTAGGAACAAAATAAGAATGTTTACTATCACTTCTACTAGTCAGCAATGTACTGGGGGTTCTAGGACAGTTAGGCAAGAAAATAAAATGTAAGTAATCAAGATAGGAAAGGAAAAATAAAGCTATATCTATTCATAGATCATATGATCTTATAAATAGAAAATACTAAGGAATCCACAAAAAGAACACTATTATAACTAATGAACAGATTCAACAAGGTTACAAGGTACAAAATCAATATAGAAGACTCAGTTGTATTTCTTTTGCTAGCAAAGAACATTCCAAAAATAAAATTAAGAAAATTGCATTTACAAGGCATAAAAAGGTATAGAATATTTAGGAATAAATTGAACAAAAGTACAAGGCTGATACATTGAAAACTACATCACTGAAAGAAATTAAAGAAAAAGCAAATAAATGGAAAGACATCCATGTTCAGAGATTGGAAGACAATATTGTTAAGATGGCAGTACTCCCAAAGCTGATCTATAGACTCAACACATTCTCTATCAAAATCCCAGGTGTCATTTTTGCAGAAACTGACAAATTGATCTTAAAATTCATACAGAAATGTCAAAACAAGAACAGTCAAAACAATCTCATAAAAGAATAAACTTGGTGGACTCACACTTCACTGTGTCAAAACTTACTAAGAATCTACAGTTATCAAGACAGTGTGGAACTGGCATGTGAATAGATACATCAGTTCAGTTCAGTTCAGTCGCTCAGTCGTGTCCAACTGTTTGGGACCCCATGGACTGCAGCACGCCAGGCCTCCCTGTCCATCACCAACTCCCGGAGTTTATACAATAAAACAAAATTGAGAATCCAGAAATAAGCCCTGATTTAATCATCATTCATCTTTGACAAGGATGTCAAGACAATTCAATGAGAGTGTCAGTGAAAAAAATCCAGAAAAGAGATGGCATTGTAGATAACTATACTTCAATTTTAAAAAGAAATGGAAAATTTTATTCAAGCCAAACTGAGAATTATAACCCAGGAAGCAATCCTTCAGAAAGCTCTGAGGACTCTTCTGCCTATGTATTACTTCCTATATAGAGGCTGTGCACACTTGGACAAATACCCCAACTCTTTGGACTACTGTTTCCTCTCTCTCACATGCTGTGGTTACTAGAAGAGAATGGCAAAAGTCCCTGCCAGATCTAATCCTCCAAGGGAAATAGAAGGAATTAGCTCATGAGCAAGTGTCTTCATCACCATCACTTTCCTCCTGGAAGGAGAGGCCCATGGGGCCATGAATGGTAGCACAGATCAGTCACTCTGCCTGAGGCTCTGGATATTACAACACAAGGAACTTAATGCCCATGAGTCAACCATGGTAGAGTGGAAAGTACTCAAGCCTTGAAAAATTAAGTCTGGATTCAAATCCTAGGCTCTATCACTTTCAGTTGTGTAGCTCTCAGTAATTTGTCTTCTCTCAGCCTCAGTTTCCTCCTCTGCCAAATGGAGTAACATTAGCATCTACCTCGGAGGTATGATACTTTGGCCACCTGATGCGAAGAGCCAACTCATTGGAAAAGACCCTGATGCTGGGAAAGATTGAAGGCAAAAGGAGAAGAGGGTGTGGGTAGCAGAGGATGAGATGGTTAGATAGCACCACTGACTCCATGGACATGAGTTTGAGCAAACTCTGGGAGATAGTGAAGGACAGGGAAGCCTGGCATGCTGCAGTCCATGGGGTTGCAGATAGTCAAACACCACTTAGCAACTGAACAACAACGGAAGTATGGAAAGGTACCTGGGTCCACCCTATGTTCCTTTGCTTATATGCTTTATAAAGACTTTGAACCCTTCCTTAAAGAGTTCAGACACAGTTTAGAAGAAATAGAACTGACACACAAAAAATTATCCATCAAATTTTCCCTCAAGGAGCTGCAGGGTTCAACAGAGCACAGTTAGATAACAATGTTAAGACTTTCCAGGATTCACGAGTGGAGCAGCAACTTCATTTCTAGCCTATTACTTATCGCACATGGGTTCCCCTTCTTAGATGATTCAAATCTGTTTACGGAGTCTATAATCTTAGATACACAAATGCTAGGTGGTATAAGAAAATAAGGGGTTCCCTGGGAGTTTAGCTGGTAAAGAATCCACCTGCAATGCAGGAGACCCTGGTTTGATTCCTGGGTCAAGAAAATACTCTGGAGAAGGGATAGGCTACCCATTCCAGTATTCTTGGACTTCCCTGGTGGCTCACCTGGTAAAGAATCTGCCTGCAATGTGGGAGACCTGGCTTCGATCCCTGGGCTGGGAAGATCTCCTGGAGGAGGGCATGGCAACCCACTCCAGTATTCTAGCCTGGAGAATCCCCATGGACAGAAGAGCCTGGAAGGCTACAGTCCATGGGTCACAAAGAGTTGGACATGACTGAGAGACTAAGCACATATGAAAATAAAGTACATGAATTTTGGATTCAGAAAGAATGGATTTGAATTCTAACTCATACGCTTATTAGCCATGTCCTTGGTCAAACTATTTGCCATCTTGGTTCCTTCACACAGGAGGGGGACAGCACTAACAATTACCTTGCAGGTTCAGGGCAACGACTTAAAATGATATAAGTAGAGTGCCAGGCACGGGGTGAGAGGCTGATAAATGGCAGCTATGCCTACTCAGCGGAGAAAGCAATGGCACCCCACTCCAGTACTCTTGCCTGGAAAATCCCATGGATGGAGGAGCCTGGTAGGCTGCAGTCCATGGGGTTGCAAAGAGTCGGACATGACTAAGTGACTTCCCTTTCAATTTTCACTTTCATGCACTGGAGAAGGAAATGGCAACCCACTCCAGTGTTCTTGCCTGGAGAATCCCAGGGATGGAGGAGCCTGGTGGGCTTCTGTCTCTGGGGGTCACACAGAGTCGGACACGACTGAAGTGACTTAGCAGCAGCAGCAGCAGCATGCCTATTCAGACTGTCACATCATAAAGCTGACATCCTTACCAGAGGGAGAGAAGCCTCACCAATAGTAACAGCCACACTGATCTGGATGAAAGCTGTCAGTCCCTGAAGTGTGGCCTTTTTTCAAACCCAGAGAGATTCCACCTCATCACCCTCCCTTGCCAAAAGCTATAGGCTTCTGTCCCTGAGTTTCTTTAAATCTCCAAAGTGCCCAGAAGTGACTGATACATTTGGCATTTGGTGGATATAACTGAATGATGGCTTCTTTGTGGTGAAATACATCCTGCTTGAACTCACTTACTTGGGTACTTGCGGATGATTCTGAAGGGCCGGTTGCTCACATCTGTCTCTGTTGTGTGCAAACATATTTCTCATTTAACTTGATGGGGTATTTCAGGACAGAGAACACCCTGTAGAAGACATTCATCTGCTCCTCCAGGACCTCCACTATACTGCGGTTGCTTAGGTCCCTCTCTGCCAGGTGACACTGGGCATGAGGTACCAGCCCTTGGAGACACATGTGGCCATGTCCTCATCATCAGTCTTATCAAACTGCACCTGAGGCATTTCAGAGTCTGGTTGGAAAAATAACAAAACAATTAGTTCCTTTCTTAATTTCAGCCACAAGAGGATCAGGCTAGCAGAAATTTTGCCCTGAGTTTTTACATTAACCTTTATATAGGCAACACATCTTGAGGTTCACTATAGTTGAAATTTTGATCCAGGCACAGTGAGAGGATATCAGGATACACACCTGCTCCTGCCCTCCAGGTCTCATCTACCGCTGCTGTCTTTAGTTTTGGAAACTTACCCTACTTGAGGGATTCATTTCAGACTCTGCTGCCCTCAGATACCCTGCTGAGAATCACAGAAGATAGCAAATGATTATCAGCACCACTTTCCCATCTCTTCCAACTCTTACCCTCAGGAATTCTGCCGTGCCTCTCTCCACCTTCATGAGACCACTCTCCATGTAATCCTGCAGAGTGAGGATCCTTAGGGCACTACAGAGATACACTGGTTCAGTTCCATCTTACATTTTAATAGTGAGAAGAGTGAGAAAATGAAGCCTGAAAAATCTAAATGTCCAAAGTCATGGAATTACCATGTAGGCCTCCCGACTCCCAACACAGGGCTATTCTCCCCAAACCACACATCATATCTCAGAGTTTTCATGTAGGTGTTATGAAACATTTTGGCTTTTCAGTGCTACAGTTTGTTTGGTGAGTTTGGGATAGGACCAATGTTTTTGTTATGTTTTGTTTGCTTATTTGAATGAATGAATGATGTATCCAGGTATGGATGTAATACCTGTAGTTCAGAGCAATATTTTTAGATAAGATGAACTGACATTCTAAATACTTAACTCTCATCATGGGAATAAGAAATAGGCATAATTATTTGAGTAGGAGAGAAAAAGTGAGAACATCAGCTCAGTTCAGTCGCTCTGTTGTGTCCAACTGTTTGCGACCCCATGAACTGCAGCACGCCAGGCCTCCCTGTCCATCACCAACTCCCTGAGTTTACCCAAACTCGTGTCCATTGAGTCGGTGATGCCATCCAACCATCTCATCCTCTGTCGTCCCCTTCTCCTCCTGCTCTCAATCTTTCCCAACATCAGGGTCTTTTCAAATGAGTCAGCTCTTTGCATCAGGTAGCCAAAATATTGGAGTTTCAGCTTCAACATCAGACCTTCCAATGAATATTCAGGACTGATTTCCTTTGGGATGGACTGNTCCAGCCCAGCATTTCTCATGATGTACTCTGCATATAAGTTAAATAAGCAGGGTGACAATATACAGCCTTGACATACTCCTTTTCCTATTTGGAACCAGTCTGTTGTTCCATGTCCAGGTCTAACTGTTGCTTCCCGACCTTAGGCACTCGTTCTAAGTTTAATGAATAAAAAAATGACTAATGAAATAAATGATCAAATGAATATAAAGAAAGACAGATGACAATGGAAAAAAGGAGTCAGGGAGAAATAACTTGTCTGCCCTTTAGAAGGATGGATTTGCATATAAGAAAACAAAATGCCTTCCTGCTCATATTGTTATTTGTCTAACATGGTTATCATCAAGAAGCAGTGAATTACAGGTGTAAAAACTATTCTTAGATTTGTAAATCCAAGTTCTAAGTTTAAGAACTAAGTTGCTAAACTTAAACTTAGTTCTAATTTTTCTTTACTAGTCATTTGTAATGAGGCAAGTTAATCTCTCTTATGCTATAGTTTTTTTACATATAATTAAGGTAGGAACATCTGTCCCAGCATTGTCATGAAATGCCTTGGGATCTTAGGGATTGTTTTTATATGACAAAGTTCAGTCATTTTCCAGAAGGACAGAAGGAGTGGATCAGACAAATGGATACTTTAGTAAGCTTCCGCTCTTCCCAGTCTCTCTCATAAAAATGTGCAGCTCACTCATGAAAGGTCCTTAATTCTAGCTTCTCAGGTTATATCCAGGAGGTCTCGCTACAGCTGTACACGTTCTAGCCCCAAGGGAAAAGGTCTCAGACTCAGGAATCCAAAGGCTCTAGTCAAAGAATCATGAAACAGGAACTGTCGATGATGTAATTGGAAATACAAACGCCAAGCTCTGACTGATGTGTCTGCAGATGGTCCTACTTGAATCTGAGTAACTCTTTTGTCTATTTCAATCTGTTTTATTTCTAGGACTTTCTATCTTTAGCTTCCCAAGGTCCAAGAAACTGAGTCAAAAGCTCAGCAGAAAGACACCATATCTAAAGCACCTCGTATTAGACTGTCACTGTTGCTATAAAATACATTATTAGCTTTCTCTTTTTCACTTACATATATATCCTTTCCTTTAATTTATTTGGTTGGGTTGTTCCTAACTATGAATGGATTACCATCTCACTTTGCCTTACTGCTCCCTTCTACACAAACACACACACACATACACACACAGACACAGTAGCCAAGCATCAAAAGAAAAGAACCAGTAAATGTAATCTGGGTGGACCTGGCCTTGCACTAACTCCTGATTCTATCCTTGGCTGCATCTCCTAAGGATGCCTTCCACTGCTGCCAGCTTTAAGAGACTGGCAGAGCTGCTGAAGGTCCCTGAGAGACTGAATGTACCTGAAACCTATAAATGTGTTTGATCACTTTTCAAGTAATTATATTGCAGGTTTTGGATACATGTCATTTTTTTTTTTTACCTGTGATTTTTTAAAGAAATTTTTGCACATATATTTTTGTTAGCTGAATTACATTAACTTTTTCAACATCTATATACTATTTATCTCAACATTTTTGAAGAACTGAATATAAAAACTTATACAAACTCTGTGTTGACTGCCCATCCAGAATTTTTAGGACAGACCTGATCTCAAATATTCTGTGATGCTATACTCTAAATCGACATTTATCAAGCACTTGAAGTGGGGAGGACTGTCCAGATTTTTTTTTAATTGAGGGAGTTCGAATTATAGATGTAAATAAGTATAATTATCCAAATATGGCCTCGAATGAACAATTCAAGTTGGCGGTGCAGGTGGGAAGGCTTTTCTCATTTAAAAACATGAAAACAGAATAAACAATAATGCTTTACTATTTGGGTTTGTTAGATTTTCCCATCTGTTCTTCACCATTTCCTGTTAAACAAATAGGGCATTGTTAATACCATCTTTAAAAAATGAGAAAACTGAGGTTCAGAGAGATTAAGTCATTTGTTTGTTTTTTTAACCTCCAAATCAGTATTTCCCTCACTATCCCAAAGCTGTTTCAGAAATATCCATAAAGATTTTTTGAAAAGTGACTCACCTATATTATGAATAAGTAGAAGTATGTTGAAAGTCACCAAAAAGAAAGACATTCTGTAAGGAACAGAAAGAAAAGCAGAAAATTTGCTTCAGCTGAGAACGTGAACCAGCACAACCCAGCCGCCACCCCACTGGGTCCAAGAAAGCCCCCTACAGACACCACTGTCAAGCTCCATGCCCACCGAATGCACTCTTAGCTGACAGAGGCTTCCAGCACTTCAGCATTCTGTGTGAGATTGTCCACTGAGTCAAGTTCACCCAGGCTGATCGTATAGACAGTTTGTTTATTTGCTATATGAACCTGGAACTCTATTTCTGCAATATGCAAGTCTGTCTCTGTAAGCGAGTTACATTTGAATTATTCTGGATCAGAGTTAGCCCTAAGATGATGTTTGACAGGTCAGTGACAGCTTCCTGAGCAATTGTCACTGGTCTTTCTAGATGTTGCTTGGGGGAAGTCAGCAGCAGGGGAGGTATAACTAGTAGATATCCAGGTGCATCTGAAAAGTTATGGATTGATGCTTCCCAAACAGAAAAATAACAAGAACAGTACTAAACACATCTGCCCAGCCAGGACTGCACTTTACTGGGAACGGTATGAACAAGCCTGGGACCTCTTTGGAGCGGGGGTAGAAAGGGCTCAGGGAATACTCAGCCTCTTTAATAAGCTCTGACATAAATGTACACCTACAGCAAGTAAAGGCCTGGATCCAGTCTCCCTCTCTGGTCTCATCTCTCACTATTCCCCTACACCTGAAGTTCCACCAGTAGCCTCCCTAAGTCATGGTGCTATTCCAACCGTCCTTGCCTGGCACATCCCCTATCACCACCACCCTCATCTGCCCTCCACAACTCACTTGTCATTCAAAATTCCACCACTTCCTATAATCTATTCAGGAGAAAAATAATACTCCACAACCCCCCAGGTCTATGATACATCATAATAAGGGCAACTATATATCAAATACTAACAAATGCCAAATTTAATTTTTAAAATAAGCCTATGAAATGATTGCTATTATCTCCATTTTTTTCTCTTCTTTATTATCTCAATTTATAAGTGAGGAAACTAAGCCATAGAGAGGGTAAATAATCCATCAGGGTTACACAACCAAGATGCTCATCTTTCAGGTTAGTTGAAGCCTGTTACATCACCTAAATTCTGTCCTGATAATCCCTGCACTTTCACTGAAAACCTTGGGAAGTCTCATCACCCAGGGTGTCCACCAAAAGAACAGGAAGCTCATGGCTGATGAAGCAGATGGTTTGTGGAGTCTTTTTGCTAGAAGCCTATTGGACCCTGGAGAATATGTGCTCTGTGCATTGAATATTAAAGATACAGAAGTCTTCAGAAGAACAAGAGGATAAAGAAACAGCCCTTCCCAGTGGATGTCTAAATAAAGCTTTTCTGGGCTCAGTGGGACAAGTGGAAAGAGTCTTTGCTAAAAATATATACTCTGACTAGGAATATGACTAGTGACAACTACTGATTTAAGAAACATCTCCCCATGGTGTATGTAGCAAAAAATTCTAAGATATATCTAAAGTAATAAAATAAAAGATAGTATGTCAGATAGCAGTTACTAGAGTTACAGATAGTTAATAGAGACTGTAGTCAAATGTCATAGAGATAAAAAGCTGTAGGAATATAAAATGCCTTTTCAATTCAATGAAATTTCATTATCTATTTCCAAGATTAAAAGTTTTTCATCATTATTAAAGATAGAAATCCTAAAACTTTCCTGATTTCCCCACGTTAGTCAGACATAATCGTTCTTCCATACTTTCAACATACTTTGTACTTCTATATAGTGCTCTGACACATTTAATAGAGTATATTTTAATGATTCTAATAGTAACACGTTTTAATTGCTTTAAAATGTTAGAAAAAGGGAAAAGAATAAAGAAGAATATTACAACCATTTCTAAGTCCATCACCCAGACAACCAATACTAACATTTTGGGACTGTTTAAGAGAACTAAATTTGTAAACAATGTAGTGTGCAGTTTAAATTTCCTCATGACGCTGTTTTATGATCATTTCTTCATCATTAAAATTCCTACAATCTGGTCTACTCTTTTTTATAGTTATGTGTGTGCATATCTTATCATCCCTACTGGACTGTAAGCCTCCTAAGGGCCTGCCTAGGTCCTCTATTCCATATTTCCATCATTGTGTTCCACATGTCATAGAGACCCAATATGTATTTATTGCCTTAATTAAATTAAATTTAATTTGGTGTAATATTCTTACAAATTTTCATTCTATAATGGGAAAAAATAGAAAAAACATAGAAAAGAAAGTCATACACTACTGAAGGTAAGCATCAACTGTGCCAAAGCAGAAGTTCTAGCAGTGTACCCCGGTATTGCCTCTAGGACTTGTACCCTTTTCACCTCTCGTTTACAGAAAACCTATGAGAAGATTATGAACTAGCTTGATGTACAGGCATATGTGTAAAGGGACCACATACAGTTGAAGTAGATACCTAAATAATTCAGGCACGTTATCCATCATTTGGCTCTCCAGTTCACAATCAAGGCCTACAATTGTCCCAAAGAGTCTGTTTATTGAAAGAGCTTACCTGTATCACAGCTGGTCTCTCTGATCAGCTAGG